TACGTGTACTCTGAGTTCTCCGAACTCTGAAACCGCAAAGGCGGTGCTTTCCTCGGGGGATAGCGGTCGCAGAGCGGGAAGGACTAGCTCGATGGTGGGAGACTGGAAAAGCCTACATAGGGTAAATCGTATAAGTATTCTAAGCACAATGCTAGAATCGATGTTGGCTGCCCACCAGGTGAAAGTTTAACTTACGTGAGTTTGTCGAGAAGGGACCACAGCATTTTGGTGGATGATTGAAAAACCTTGGGAATTAGGTGTATCTGAAATGGTATTGCAGCTGGAGTAGCTACCACACATGACTTCTTATACTACTCCCTCCTTATGTTTCGCATGACGGTTCGAAGAAATATTCCAAGCCAATCAGACTACAATACTTTTGTCCCGTAGCCAAAACTTCTCTCTTCCAGCTCCTATTGGAAACTCCACGCAAGACCCTCGTCGTCAGTCGTCAGTCGTCGCTCTCAGCTCTTCTATGAACCGATTCCGTGCATGAGTGATGTATTGGTGCCTTCTCATGACGTTTAAGGGAGAACGCCCGAGACATTCCTAAGTGGAGGCCACTGGCATACATACATATGCGTCAAAGGAATTGCTCTTAACCCCCCCCTCATAGAATCCCCAAGTTGGCGGCCTAAATCCTAACCATCAAACAGTAATTAGCTACTTTAGCATCGAGTAGGTGACCCATGGGTCTTCTGGAAAGCTGGTAGACGCCTAGACTGGAGATTGAGAGTTTCGATTCCATTCGTTTCGATTCCAGGGTTTCTCCTGACCCATCAATGCACATCTACCCCCTACCACTCATAGTCAAAAAAGTTTTGCAGAGGACTCATCAGCACTCATCTCACAAAAGATCCTCTCCTGGGCTCCAGCTTAGGTTCATCTCAGCCAATTCCAAGCTTTCACCCTGGAGTTCAACCCAAGCCACCTGAGAACCGAAATTCTCACTCACATACGCAAATGTTGTCGCCTTCCACCTCTCCCCTTGGGATACCATCATCCACACCCACACGCGAGAACCACCTCCACACGAGATGCCATACAATACAGCGGTTCCCGGATCCGAATTAGCATCAATCGATAGACGAGGAGGGTCAAGAATATCCAATTTTCATTCCCAGCGACCTTCTTCCCCAAGTTTCCCCCGGCTTCAAAACTGACAAACTTGAGGATATCCCGCAATTCCTCCCGGAAACACCGTATTTGGAGCACCCAACATCTCCGGATACTAATCCATCACGCAAGATATAACTCCCGCACCACGCCAGAATCCACGCAGCACCAACAAGCCTCCCAATCCCAGCACCAAGAACTCCCACTGTGCAGCTTCAACAACACCACATCGGCCCAATCTCAACGACAACGACTCAGAGCCGGAATAACTCCCACACCACGAGACAACGCCAACATGTCGAGATGCCAGGCAAGGGAAAGAGAAATAACAAACCCGGAAAGATGGATCGACGAATTCCACCACTGAAGACCCGGCTGCCAGGCACCGGGCACCCATAGCCACCGTCCCTCAATGGATACGAAAGCGACAAAGCCTATCGCACCACACCGCAACCACAGCAGCGACTCAAGAAGAAAATAACGTCAGACTCACCAACAAGGTCTTGGATAATTTAATAATGACCTTGTCTCATATCACGAATTTTTTTGAGTCAATTAATAATGTCGGAAGAGCTTGCATTACCATACTCATGACGTTTTAAGATTTCATCATGCCCCATGGGTTAATGCAAGCCCTGCATGAACATTAGATACCACCTGGTCGCTCGAATGCATAAGACAACCAATTGAGTTTACTTGAGGAATGCTCATTATGCTCATGCACCGTCAAAACAGGCTGGAAAAACACGCTAGCAAACGGAGTAAAGATCGTCAGATAATATCCCTAGATCAAAAATATTTGTGAACATATTAGGTTGGCCAGTGATTTACGAATCCCGGTGTGTAGGGGTTGCGTAGGTAGGGCATATTTATGTACGTACGCTCCCCTTTCATCTACAGGTATAAATATGGTAAGAATCAGCTTCGTCATTTGAAGTGCCCAAAAGCAAGGAGTGTTTATGTCCAGCTGGAGTCCATTGTCCAATTCCGGTCGTTCTCAACTCCAAAAAAGGCCCGCAAACCCATGGAGCGGTTCCCAATGCTGCTTGCAATTTCTGACTGGAAGTTATCGATGATTAGTATGAAAAACCTCCATATCCCCCGATCAGGACTCTAAACCATTCATCTCTACCATTCCAACTAGGTGCATCACCGCCAACAACATCCCTGTAGTGGCTTCACCTTGCTGACTGAGGTTTTTCGGAATTCAACCCCTTGACTCCGGTGGGAGAAACGAACGCTCAATACTTCTTATTCTTGCTGTCTTCCGCCCCTGGATCAAGATTTAGATTATTGCTTTCTCGAATTGGTTTTTTAGCACGGAGAACACTTCTTCCAAGTACTTGAGTAAATCTCCCCTCTGTGAAGAAGGTATGTACAAGCGCTCCAGTCAGCAATGATGGTTTTGAAATTTATGTGAAGTCTCATAAGCGGCCTATAGGCCTCGATGGATTTAGATTGGGTATATTATGATGAGCACACTATCATCAACCACTTTACTTTGTATGCACCAGCTAGCCCGCACCCCGCGGGGTCTTGTTGCTCTGACGCCATGTTCTGTAAATTCCCATTTCTCCTTTGCCCGCTTGTAGGTCACTAAGTTGTATCTCCGGATTTGGGACGGACAATGATTTACATGACACGGCTTTGGCTTCCATCATCTAATCCAAAAGGTCAGCGATCATAATTTCTAATTCAATTTCCCATTTGCATTATGATACCGAATATTTGGATGCGCTTTTTCCATTATCGACAGTGAAAATAATGCCGGTTGTATCGCCTGTGACCTCTTGAAAGGTTAAGAGATATGGTTGTATTCTGGGCATCCACAAGTTTGCGTATCATGATGTCTTTTTTCTTCTGAGCTATTGCTTGATTATTGGTCGATTAATTGATGCTGAGGTGAGGTTCCCAGGAACGTCCTTCACGGGGCAAATGATATCGGTTCAGTCCTATTTTTGTCAATAACAACTCCATTAGTTAAAATATAAAAGGGATTATGTAGTATTGGCTGAGATAGAACGCCTTTGTATACGGCACTCTCGAGCTGAATTCTTAACCCATGGGAGTCATTGATCTTCAGATAATCAATTTCTTGCTGTACGTTGTTTTGTGAATCATTTGATTCAAGCATAAAGGCACCCACTAACAAGTGGCAGGTCTGGTTCCAAAGCCTCTCGGAAGCCAGTCTGTATTGCAGGCGAACCCGCATTCAAGTACCACCTATTGAATAGAGATCCGTTGACTAGGTGGTTAGGATCCATAGGTCGGTGAAGTTTAAACCCCAATAGTGCATTGATGGCACGATGTACTCCCCGAATTCTGCCTACCGTCCGATATGATGTCCTTCAGCACAGCATTTGCATGTACCAGGCATCAGCAGACACTGTCGTCGAGAGCATGTCCTTTGCGTTGCGAGCGTGCTATTCTGGATTTTTGTCGGACAGGCATGCCTTCGTCACGGGTTTAGAAAGCTGCATCCCGTCCGGAAGATTGTTCCCCGATGTGGGTATTGTTGTAACTCCTGCGGACAGTAGAATGTGTTCCAAATGATCCTGAAACTCGCATAACCTTTCTACCTGTTGACATACAGCCGGTTTGCAATGCGTTCCCTAAATGCCCCAAAACGCCTGACCTACCATAGACCTTACCATCGTGATGGGAGCGGTGTGTAAGGTCTCAACCTGACTGAGCTCGAGCGTTTATGTTTGCTCACCCTATTCTTGAATGGTATGCTGGACATGCTGATAGTCTATGTTGATCTGAATGCAATTGACGGGGGAAACCGAATCGTAAGTTTCAAAGGGATGCAGACTAGGTCGGAGAATGTGAAATGCCGCAAAAGAAGAACTCGAGTTGTTTGACCAGTGGTCATGCGACCAGAAGAGTGTTAGATCAACGGATTATTGGTAGGTGGCAGCTGTAGGGCTGTGTTTCAGTATGAAGAACTTCGATCAGTTGAAGGAAGCAAAGGTGTACTCGCTGCATGGGAAGCAGCCAACTTACAAAGTTCTTCTACTCCTGGTGTTCATCTGAATGCACATAAAACTTGGGTTTGGGTTTGGGTAGGTGGCCTAGTGTCCTAGTGTCCCTTGGGGGTCCCATTACATTTCCCTTGTCAGTTCACGAAAGGGGGAAACAAAAAATAATGGCTCAGCTGGGAGTTGAACCCAGATCACCCACTCTCTGCCAAGATTTAGCAGGTACCTACATAGCAGGAGTCATATACCATTAGACCACTGAGCCTTCTAATATATTACCGCTTTGTAGAGGAGCTACTTAAATTCATGGATAGTAGAATCCTAAGTTAGTAAGCGCAACCGTAATAATTCTTTTGTGCCAACCAGATATAAGTGGTTGGCACAGCACCCTCCACAAGACTATGTAACCTCTAATACTCTCTTCTATCTGCTAAGACAACTCCAGAAGAGTGCCATGGGCTTCCTAAACCAAGGACACACCGTGGCTATATATACACGGTTATTAAAATCATGAACCTTCGGGGAGGCTGTCAATCTGGCTTCAATGAGGTTACTGCATGAGACATGCAAATCTCCATAGCAGGGCCGAAAGCTCTGAAGTGGGAGCAGGTGTATAGCACTATCATTGAAGGTGTTGGTGACGGGCGATGAGGAGCTTGTGGAGTCGGGCGATAGTGAGGTATACTGGAGCTTGAACACTCTTTGATTAGAGCCATAACTTATTTAGAAATGACAAGCCGAGAATGGTTATAGCCAGGCCAATTGGTACTATGCAACTAGGGATCTAGGAGAAAGGTAGTCTGGGGAAAGAAGTTCAAGGAACGGCTCGAGGGGACTGGAACGACCGGACAACCATCCTTACTATCCTATCAACTCCTGCCATTCAGTACCCACCAACCACCATCCGTCGTGGTGTAGCGGCAAGCATTCGAGACTCTCATCCTTAGGTTTCATCTCTTGCGGGGAGGGCCTGGGTCGGGGGATTTCGGGACCCGGGTTCGATTCCCGGCGACGGAAGTTATTCCTTTTTCTTTCCTGTTTGCTTATCTGTATATCGTACACCATAAACACTTTGCTTTCATTGTGCAGGCTTTCACAATTGCAGCTTTCCGTCTAGTGTGTTTTCTACCGAGGGGTGTGTGCAAACCAGATATATAAACTCTTGAGCTTGAGGCGTGGGCCGCACCCCACAACCCCACATCTGCGTAACAAGTGGGGAAGGTTCAAACCAGACTATGTACCTTAGAGTATAGAAACCTAGTCTCGTGCCTAGAAACCAGTTCCATTGCCTCACAGCATCTGTTGGCCTCTATTGCTATCCTACCCATATCAGTAATGAGATATGAGTAATGAGTTAAATAAAAAAAATAAAAAATGGATTAAAAAAAAAAAGATGCTACCGTATTAATTCGCAAGTAAGAATGCTGTCTTATTCACGAACGGGTGGTCGGAGGGGCCTTAAATTTACTGTCTTATATGCGATACTAGCTTAAACACGAGATACTTTCTTATAAAAGAATTTCCGCGGAAAAAAAAAAAAATTCCGACAGTAGTATAATTGGTATCTAGTTACACGATCTCCTCCCCAAGCGTAATGGCAGCATATCGAACAGCCTCTTCTTCAGTAATGTAATCTCCCTGCTCATTGTCACTTCCAGCCGCTTCCTCTTCATCATCCACAATCTCAAGGTCTGAACTTTCATCCTCCGTGTCTGTTGGCAGGTCGGGTTGGTCTTCAGACTCAGGAGGTAATTGCCACTGTATAGTTCGGGATTCCTTCAATATGAATCTCGGAGTCTGCTGTGCCATCAATTGGGACAGTGATTCCACATTTGCGAAATGAGCGAGTCTAAGGAGTGTTAGCTAAGTATAGGTGCATGCAGGAGGATTTACAAGGTTGAGCTTACAATCATATCACAGGTGGCAGATACTGACTTCCATGCCTCGGCTACCCATTTGGTCATTAGAATTCGCCGTTGGGAAGCAGTATATTTATTCTCCATCCAATTGTCAAGATTGGCAGCATAGTGCGATTGTGATATCTCATCAAGTTGTTTCTTGAATGGTGCATGAACCGATACATCTAGTGGTTGAACTAGACTTGTGCATCCAGGAGGAACCATAACGGGAACTGTATGCATATCCAGACTCACGTAAGGCATTGAAGTGTACAATGTCTTGTGCCACATCAGGTCCTTCGGAATCTACCTTTGATAGTGCTGGAATCGCTGTCCGCCTCCTAGAGTTCTGCAGTTGCAATACTGAGGTTGCGCGAGGTTTTTGGCCAGTGCTTTGCGCACTGGGTCCAGGACGAGGTGCCTGTGGAATTGGCATCGCAACAAGTGATGGTGATGAGTGAAAGAAACTGATTGCGCCAGTCAAACGTTGATATTACTATACTACTGTCTTATAAGAAAAATTTGCTGTCTAAAACACGATTCGGATATCTCGGCCAAAATTAGGCTGTTTTACCCCTGTCTTATACGCGAATACTGTCCTGCCGAGTGGTACTTTCTTACTTGCGAATTAATACGGTATTCTACCGTAGCTACCATACTAAAATCAACGTCATTGGTTAGCATTGTAGGTACCCGTTGAATCTTGGCAGAGAGCGAGTTCAACTCAATATTTTTTTTCATATCTTTTTTTTCTTCAATTAGCTGCGAAGCTGAGCACGTAGGTATGCTGGTAAGATCACGTGGTTGTAATACACGCCCTTGTGGTATGAGGTTGGCATTGGGAAACCAGACTAGCATTGGGATGTGATTGGTTGCATGATTGCATATATAGGAGGCTCTACGGAGGTGCGGCACAAAATAGTCTGTGGAGGGTGCTGTGCCAACCAGACTAGGCACAAAAGTCTTTTCCTCCTTCCTATTTGGGAAAAGGGGCTTGGTCCGCATAAACTGGGAATATGCACTAACTATGCACCTCTCACGGCATGGCATTTTTCATACCTTGGGCTAACCGTACTATTTAGGGCATCGTATGAGTAACAACAAACGTGCAATGCATGACCACATACCTCATATCAATAGCCCTGTCATCACCTACAATAGAATGTCATAGTTGTTGCCAACAATGCTTGCATATGGGTGCTGTGAGTGGCATGCGAAGACTAGTACTCTGTAATGCATAAGCTAATGCATATGCTAATTATGCCTGCATATTTCTGTATATGCAAAGTTTATTTCTGCATATATATGTATATGCGCGCCAAGCCGCAACTCCGTAGTTGTGCATATATTATTCAGCAGCTTTACATATTAAACCTAGTCTGGTTGGCACTATTAAACCCCCTTCGGGCCTCGTCATACTAGTCTGGTGTGCCAACCAGACTACGTCATACCACCCCAAAGGGTCACGACCCACCTCCTGTTATATGTACATACGAGTACTAAGTTTTCAGTTTTTCTTTTATTTAATTTATTTTTAAGGAATTTAATATTAGCTTTGGCGTAGTCCAGACATGGGGACTCGTGCTAAAGTAATTTTAAAACTCTCTCATTATTGTGTTCCTTTCACCAAAACACCCCGCACAACTACCTAGCAAAGCAAAAATAATAAGCCAATCAAAAAGCCAAATTATATCCACAAAAACCCTAATTATAACCGTCCCAACAACATCCCCGCACAAAAGTTAATTAAGTATCAAGCAAAACCCCTCCACCCATTCAACCTATTCCCTTAATTTCTCCTATTCTTCCTATTACCTAGCTTTTCCTATTCCTCCTATCACTCCTATTCAAACTAAACCCGCTTCAATTTTCAATCCCACAGATAACTTTCCGAGTTCACCAATGATATGTGTCACCCAAACATGCTATCCTCCATCTCCCGTCCCCCGTCCTCCACCCTGCATCCTCCACCTCTACCCTCCATCCTCCACCCTCCACCATCCTCCATTCTCCATCCACCCATCCTCCATCCACCCAACCTCCCTCTTCCATCCTCCCTCTTCCATCCTCCCATCCCGTTCCAAACCAACAGACCAACAAAGGGCATCGAAACAAACAAAATGACTTACCTGCCCCCTTCCGATTGAATTTAGCCACGAGTTTTCCCACAAACAAAAAGCGTCCAATTGCAAAAATCCCTACATCCAGCCCAGTAGCGATAGCCTACGAAAGAAGGAAGAAATAGCAAAACGAACATCCTCTGGGAGACTGAGTACAAAAGGATTAACAAGCGGAAGCAAAGAAAGCGAGAAGAATAAACGAAAATAACCATATCAGCAATATTTTATGCAATAAAAACATATTCAGACGACGGAAAGAAGTTACGTAGTGGAGGAAATGACAGCTGGAGATAAGAAGCAAGAGAATAAACAAGATACAAGGTAGAATGTAGGCCTCTGCTGGACATGCCCCAAGACGCAGACTTATTCATCCTTCATCTCCACATCCACGTCCACATCCTCAATTTTCACCCTGCCAGTCCCAAAATCCTCAATTTTCACCCTTCCAGTCCCAATCTCCCTCTTAATACCTCTCTTCGCCACCGGGCCCACTCTTTCAATCCCCGCAGCCGGCATAGCCGGCTGCTCAAAAGGCACTCCAACAGCCAGAGGCTTCATGAAGAAGCTACCCAGAGTCTGTTGTCCCTTCTCTACTTTCACTGCCGCACTCACTCTAGCACTCCCACTAGCCACGGGGCTACTTCCACGGCCGCGGCCCCGCCCACGAGCCCCTACCGAGCCACCACCCCTAGAAGTAGCTTTGGGGGAACTCACCGAGCTGCTAGTGTTCACAGTTACCCACCTTTGTTTTGGATGGAAGGTCTTGTCTGCTTCGGTGTCGTCCTCAGAGGTGCTGCTGCTGCTTGGCTCGGAGTCGGTAGAGATGTTTCTCACTGCGTCTGCGATGGAGGCAGGCCTGGGTGGTATGTGAGGATGGTTGAGGGTAGACTCGTTTTGCACTACGCTGGCTAAGGGACTACTAGTCGCTGGAGCAGTAGCCTTTGGAACACCATTCACAGCGGTCGAGCGGCGCGGATCTGTGTTTTTTATTCGAGCCTGTGGGGCGAAAGGATCATCTGTTTCTGTGGAACTAGGTACCTTATGGAGGACCTTCCCACCGTCCCGAATAATAAGGTTTATGTGACGTTTCTGTGGACTGAAAGGCATCATGCGAGTTGGACCAGGAGTTGGAGGTGCCGCAGCTGGCGACGACTCTGCCCCTTCCACAGCTACTGTATCGTTTGATAAAACGGTGAGGTTAGCGGTCTCCAAAGCGTCAGAAGCCGGTATAGTTGGTGAATGCAATGGAGCTGACGGTAAGGCAAGATTCCTACCAGTTAGTGTATTTGGCAACGAGACTGGCGCAACTACCGGAGATCGATCCAGTGTTATTTGAGGTTTCCGAGGTCTCCCTCGTTTCTTTGGTTCTGATGGAGCTGGCACTTGTGAAGAGTATCCGATTCCAGAAGAAACTATAGCCACGAATTAGTCAATATCCCACAAGGGTACTTGTGTTTGCCATTGACACTACTGACCATCAGCCACGGTTATACTAGGATCCCCATTGGCAACTGGCTTTGGCTGTATCGGAACCGGCGCGATCGGAATCGACTTTTCCACGGGAACTTTGGGTGGACGACCTCGTCGCCTTTTCTCGGGCTCAGGAGTTGATACTGCGGCTGGAGCTATGGGAATGGCGGGTAGCTTATTTGCAGTCGAGTTGTAAGCTAAAAGAAATTCGGGCCCATAATTGGGCGAGGTAGGTGACTGTTGAAAGGAGCCCATGGAAGCGCTTCTAGTGGTAACGCTCCTGCTACCCACACTACCCTCCGCATCAGGAGTGATTGTTGAAGGCACAACGGAAATCATGGGTGTTTCGTCACCTGGCCGCGGCTTCCTAGGACGGCCAGGGCGGCGCTTTACTGCAGGTGGTTGGGACAATATATCAGGAGTCTTCTGACGCTTCGTTGGAGATTGACCACAGTGCTGAAGCCCTTTCCTCTTTGAACTTGGAGGCTCCATCGAACAACTAGCGATGTTCTGGTCCGCTGATACCGAA